TATATATTGTTCGTGTATCCTTTTATTTCATTTTATTTATTATTCTTAATATTCTATCACAAGCTATTCAGCATTATAATTACAATGACTGCTTGCCTTAAAAACTTTATCTTCCAGAATTACTGTAGTCTACTATATACTCTTTGTTATTCTTATCTATCTATCTATCTATCTATCTATCTATCTATCTATCTACAATCATATTTTTACGGCATTCGATAGTGCTGGGTATGACGTTCAATTACATTTGGCAGTAAGGCCTCTGACTTGGAGTGACGTTTTTGAGTCGAGGTGTTAGGGTCCCATGTAGGGGGGGGGCAAATAGTGACCCCCCCCTCCACACAAACAAAAATGAAAATGTTTTTTTATGAAAAATACCAACAATATATTTTTGTTGTGAAATTATCAGCAGTACATTTTTAGGAAACAAATTATTACCAATAATATATTTTTGTAGTAATATGATTAACATTTATCGCTAAGTGACCAGCAATTTCTTTTGTAGTAGAAACACTAACAGTACATTGTATAATGAAATGACTAACAATACGTAGAACAATATATACAGAAACACAGTGAAAATCAATTTTTTCCTTTGTATGTGTTGTGTCCCTTCAGGACGTCAGCCTTCATGGCTCTCCACTTCTTCCTATCACTTGTAGCTCTCAATATGTTTTGTCCTTTTCCTACTTCCCCCAAGCCATTCTCCATCAGATTCTCCAATCCCCCCTTTGTCATTACGTGTCCCAGAACTTTCAGCGGCCTCTTCCTGATTTTAAATATAAGTTTCCTCCTTTGTTTGCATACAATACTAAAAATATATAAACATACATTTTTATAGTAAAATTACCTGCTATACATTTTTTTTTAGAATTAGCAACAGCAGATCTTATCATCTACAAATTATATGTCTAAAACAACATACGTTTTCCCTGAAAGTATCAAATTATGTACAAAATATATTGAGTTGAAGCCATAAAATTTTCCTGAAATATTTAGATTTTGGCATTAAAGCACTCGTAGAGATTGATATGCCGCTAAACAAAATCAACCAACAAGTCGAACTGCTAAGTGCAATCAGCTAAGTGACAAAATTTATTTGCGATAATACTATATATATATATATATATATATATATATATATATATATATATATATATACGTGTGTCTACTGAAATGTTAATAGGCTGAGCAAAATAGACACATGAAATGTGACCAAATTTTTCAACATATTCACCCTTGCGGCACACGCACTTCTTCCATCGGTGTTGGAGTACTTGGATCCCATTGGTGAAGAAGTTCTCATCCTATTGGTAAAAAAAAAAATCATCAACATCAGATAAGACGCCACTGTGGTACTGGTTCCCAGACAAGTGCTTTTTTCATGTTGGGGAACAGATGGTAGTCAGATGGGCCCAAACCAGGAGAATAGGGAGGTTGATCAAACAGTTCAAAGCCACGGTCACGTACAGCATTGAAACCAGGCGTTCGTAAAAAGGATTGGCTACCCGCCCCAGAAGACACCTGTTAAACATAATATATGGACATCATTCATGCGCTTTGTAATCGAGTAACCCGCACAATAATACATGAACCCGCCACATACAGGTCCCGTCCACTAACCAGCGAAGACTGTTTCACACTGACGCCATATCGACATCGCTAAATACAGTACAACTCCTTTAAATCGAACATCCGTGATGTTCGGTATTGAGGGTACTGTTCGGATTAGAGGAAGAGAAGGCTGCAGTGGCAAACTTAAAATGTTTATTATATTTTAGAGTTTAGGAGACAAAAGGTAGTTTGTAACGTTGATTTGTTTTTATTTAAAGTGTAGATTGAATACATAAATGCACAAAAATAATTGACAACCAATAGTAATAAAAATTGTAATTTGTGAAAAACTAAGACACTTTACAAAATGTGTAAAAATTTATGAAGTACCTTATTCAAAAAATGTAAGATACAAATATAACTTTTGAGTCTTACTAATAAATTTGATCAAGGAACACCTGTGAATTTTCCTAGATTTTTCTGTGGGGATCAGCTGTAGCTTTTGGTTGATTTGAGAGGGAAAGGTCCTGATATTTTTAAAATCTATTATCGTATTTTTGTTTTCTTTTTTCTGTTTATTTATTATTTTTTTTGTTTTGTTTTCGCGCCTTTCTTTCCCCCAACTCCTTTATTTTAATTTCTCTCTCTCTTTCTCTCTCTCTCTCTTTCTCTCTTTCTCTCTCCCCCCTCTCTCTCAAGCGTTTTTCCTTTTATTTATTTCGCCATTTTAATTATCTTTCGCTATTTACATTCTTCGGACTGTTGTCCTCATTTTAATGTCATATTAACAGCGTTTCGGTACTTGTACGCTCCGGCCTTCTTTGGATCATATACAATATGATAGACAATAAAGATGAGGCCAATTGACCGAACAATGTAAATAGTATAAATAGTTACAATACCGCATCTCAGAAATACAGACATTTTTTTTACACTCTTTCTACCCTTAAACCTCCTTAACCCTTTCTCACTCGCTATATAAGCATTTTTTTCTCTTGTTCTCTATCTCCCTCTCAATTTCCTTTGCCTTTTTCTCTCTTGCTCTTTATATCAACCTTTTTCTCTCTTTCTCGCTATCTCAGCATTATTTCCTTTTTATCATTTATTGTTCTTATAACCCTTTCTATCTTCCTCTATAGCTTTCTCTCTTTTAATTAACCTTTTCTTTCGTTTCTCACTCTATCACTCTCAGCCTTCTCTCTCTCTCTCTCCCTCTCTTCTAGTTTCTTTTCATTTTCTCTCTTTGTTTCAATCTCTTTTTCTCTTTTCCAATTTCTTTCCTTTCATCTTCGTATATTTTCGCTCGATTCACTCCTTATTTTCCTTTTCATTTATATCCTCTTTTCTCTCTCTGTCACCCGTTTTCCATTTCTCTTTCTCGATTTTCTATTTTTCCTCTTCTTTTATTTATTTCTCTCCCTCTCCCTCTCCCTCTCCCTCTTTCATCTTTTCCCTTCCTCGCATTCTATTCGTTTCTTTTTTCTCTCTCTCTCTCTCTCTCTCTCTCTCTCTCTCTCTCTCTCTCTCATTTTCATTCAAGCATTTTCTCTTTTTCTCTCCTAACCTATTTTCTTCTTCCTATTTATTTCTGTTTCATTCTTTGTTCTTCATTTTACTCGAATTTTTCTTCTCTCTTTCCGTCTCCTTGTCTCTTTCCGCTTTTCTTTTTTCACTCTCTTTCAATCTCTTTTTCTCTTTCTTCGTCTCGGCATTTTCCTCTGTATTTCTTTCTCCAAGACCAGAGATGGAAAACAACTGACCCTCGGGTCATGAACTGAACCACCATTAACTTTTTTTAGGTCATGAAATATGGCTCGGTCAATCAAATCTAACGATTTTCCGTGTTTTGTTCGAGCCTTGCGTATACGTAAATACATGTAGCTGATACTCAACCAGTTTTATAACATCTTGTACAGTTGTATAAGAAGGTTTTTGTCTCTCTTTGCATTTTATCAGTTGTAGACTCATCTATTTTTAATATCGGCTTGGATAATTTAGAATTCGTCATTATTCTAAATGCATTTGTGATAGTCCCTTTAGTTATCTTGAATTAAAACATTAGCAACTAAGATAAAGCAACAAGTTTCTCATTAAGGCGATATCGGTAAATATATGAGTGACCCATTTATGGTTATGAAAAAGTTATCAAAATGACCTACTATAAAGGATCGCTATCTCCGTCGTAAACTCTTTTCAATCTCTTTTTTCTTCAGTCAGTCTATTATGTGCCATGCGAGATACACGCTTAGGCGATCATGTATCTTTCGATACATGACTGATTTTTCCCCGTAGTAGGTAGCCATTTCTTTCTGCGGTAGACCAGTTGCCATCCAAGGCTATAGAACCCGGTCTGTTCTGCTATTTACCCATAGCTAGGGAGAGAAGATGATTTATACCTTTCCCAAGTATTAGCACGTAAATGAATTCAATGAATTCGACTGGAGTTCGAATTCGTCTCTCCAATTCCTCAATCTGAGCCGCTCTTTTACTCTTCCTTATTTCTCTCATTTTCCCCCCATATTTTCTTCCCCCACCCTGTTATTGTTTCCTGTTTAAGTCTGGGTTTAGGGTTCCTCCTAAAACCTTCTACTTATGTAACCCTCTAACTCGAGTGATTCTTGGGCCTTGTACAGGGTGAGTATCATTGTAAAGAAGAATGATTTCCTTTTTTTTCTATTACGATCTTTCTCTCTGTATTTTCTCTTCTACTCTACCGTTACCTCTCTCTTTCTTTCTCTCAGTTTTAGTCTTTTTCCCTCTTCTCTTGTTATCACTTTCTCTCCTTCTTTATTTTCCTCTATCTCTCTTTCACTTTCAGTAGTTATCTACTGAAAAATACACGTTCTTTCCATTTCTTTCTTCCTGTTCACTTCAACGCTCCTTTTCTCTTAGTCCGCTTTAGGGGAGGAGGACATAAAATTGAAAGTATTTCTTGCTTTGGGCGTATTTCACTTCCTTTTATTTTCACTGTCATATAAATGGTAGATATTAATTCATATATTCTTATCGAATAATAATGATGTATAAAAAAATATATATGGCGATGTCGGTCTTTTTATGATTTTTTCCCAGATATTTTTGTATAATTGTCGCTTAAGCAGGAGGAGCTCAAAGTGAAACCGATTTGCAAGATTCATTTAGGGACATCTTTTATATACATGCATATGTACTGTCCCAAAATGAGTCTACCTTATTCCCTCTTATAACCTCCACGCGCGTGTGCGCGCACACACACACACATATTGGTCTGTTTTCGGAGAAGTGTAGTGAATGCTAAATGAGTTGAGATATTCTACTGGACCGATTTTTACGATAGACAAAAGTTCCCAGGAATATCGTTTGCATAATATTAGGAAAATCTTAAAAGTGTCCTTATTCATTCATCCATACGGTCATACCTTTTAAGCCAAAACACTCCATTCTATATCCACGGATTCGAATCACCCTCTTTGCCACCGTATTTTATTTGAAAGAAAGTTTCACTCAGACTGATTTCTCCCCCTCGAACTTCAACGTGGTGGAAAAACTCCTGCGTGGATACTTCCCTGAACACTACAATTTTACTCCCCTCCACACACACACACACACACACACACACACACACACACACACACACACCAAAGTCAAGAATCAATCGCTCTCTGTCCTCATCACTTCTTGCTACCTTCACTTGCTACCTTCACTTACCCTCAAGGTAGAGGGTTATTGAAATTAGTGCTATCTTGAGTGGCTCTTGAAGAAGGAACATCGGAGCGTTTTTTTGATATTTGTTCTCTTCTTGCTCAAGACAAACTAAAAAATAATTTTAAACTAGATAGAGGCGATGCAAAAACCGAAACGACGAAACCTACGTTGAAACACCTCATCATGTTGAAACGCCGGTACCCGTACGATCACCCAAGTTAAGCAACGTCGAGCCTGGTCAGTACCTAGATAGGTGACCTCTTGGGAATGCCAGATGTTGTAAGTCTGGATGTGCGGGTGGTGTAATGGATAGTGTTTTGGAATTGTTAATCGGAGAGGCGAGTTCCAATTCCAGTTGGGTTCGTTGTTTTCACTTACGAACAAATACACTTGGGAAAGGGATGAATCCAACTTTTCTCCCCCAGCTATGGGTTAATTATTTCCTAAAAATATTTCCATTATTTCCTAAAAGTAAAAAATAAAATTGCGTACAAAATATTTAGATTGCAGCATTAAATAACCTATAGAGGGATCGATTCATCGTTAAACCCAAAACAACCAAAACGTTGGAAATAGTGGTATGATCCAAAGCACACTTCAGCTAAATGATATCTTCCGAAGGGGAAATTATACTCTGTCTTACTTCTTATGGCGATTTACAAGGCCGAAAGTATGAGGCATTTACGTCTCAGTCGTAATTAATCTAGCGAGACAAGCTTGCTAACAATTAAATCACGTCGAAGTGCCCCAGTCTACCCTCTTAAGGATTTCTTTATTACGAATTACTAAACATGTCTCAAAATCCGTTATTATTTACCACTTGGAGATTAGGTCGCAAGTATAAGTCCCCCAATAAGGATCGAACTCACAGATAATCATGCACAAGTCTAGTTTGCTGTCTTTTATAGCGTGATGACCCGACTTAACCTGACTCTACTGTTACTATTATTTAGTATGTACCAATTAGTTTTGGTGCAATGTGACAAGTCTGGGTCACCCAGTAAGAATCGAATTCATTAATAATTAATTCCAAGTTCAACTTCTTCCCCATTACACTGTGATGAGGTGGCGAAACATGATTATATTGTTACTGTTTAATGAGCAACTGACTCATTTGAATGTTGCATTGGAAAAGAAAAAAAGACTTTTCTTTATCTGAGCAAGAAGGTAAACCGGTAATTTTGCCTTATGACCTCTTAATTTTAATTTTAATGTCATATTAACAGCGTTTCGGTACTTGTACGCTCCGGCCTTCTTCGGATCATATACAATATGATAGACAATAAAGATGTGGCCAATTGACCGAACAATGTAAATAGTATAAATAGTTACAATACCGCATCTCAGAAATACAGACATTTTATCGCAAATACAACGCAGGAAATGATGGAAAATGTGACACCGAATCCAAAGGCGCATTGGGATAGCGAAAGATATCTTTCAAAAGTTAAGCAAAGTAATACTTTGCTTAAGTACATTGCTTAACTTAAGAACAAGAAAATTTTTATTCGAAACAAAGAAGTGCCAAACTTCTATGTGATATAAATGTTCCTATGTGGGAGTGAATGCTGAACTATTTTCTCACAGATGAAGAGAAGACTTGAGCCAACAAAGATCTGGTTCTACAGTAAGATGCTGAGACTAATGTGGACGGAAGATGTGAGTAATGGGGAAGGTTTAGGGAAACTGGAAACAAAAAGAACACTTATACGTAAAATCAGAACGAGACAATTGAAATTTCTGGAAAAGGAGCTTGGAGAATCTGATACTCCCAGGATATATTGAGCGTGGTTTACTAAAGTTTTTCTGTAAATGGATGGCAGAACAGAGACTGAGAAGCATAGTGAAGAGACAAACATTACTTAAAGCTACGAAAGGTAGGAAGCTATGTTTAGATATGGCCGACTACGCCCTGATTTTCTCTTCTTTTTTTTTTTTTAAATAGAGTTCATCCGAAACAGGGCAGTAAGGCCACTAAGACACAAAGGGTTACTAGGCGTGGAAGAATTAGGAACAGAAACATTAATAATTAGCGCGAAGAGAAAAGAGTCATCGGGTGGACAGTAGATAGCAATTGTCATTACATTTAATTTTTTGCAGATTAAAATTGTCTGGAAAGCATGGATCAGGAAGGGAGTTTCACAGGTGAGAAGTGCGAGAGAAAAAAACTATTAGCAGGGAACTTACGGCTACATCTAGCCAACTCAATTGTAAATTGATGAGATTCTGACGGCAGTCTAGTACTGCGCTTAAATTTTAAAAATTCTAGGTGTCATAGATAATGATTTTATACTATGTATAGTAATTATATAGTATATATAAGTCATATATTATATATAAGCCGAATCGTTTCATCCTTTGAGGAACTTTAAAATAATAAGGCAAATAATATTTATTTCTGTTAAAACAGAAAATGTGACACAAGGCCAAAATGGGAGGATGTAGAAGGCCAGTCATCAATCAGTCTTATCTTAACTAGCCACAATCATTGACCTATAAGCGAGAAGTGCGAGATAAGAAACTTAAGGTTACATCTAGTCAACTCAACTGTAAAATGATGAGATCTCGATGCCAGTCTAATACTGCGCTTAGATTACAAAAGTCTAGGTACCATAGCAAAGAACGATATTTATTTGTAAATTATTTACAAAATTTATAAAATGTGTCACAAGGCCATAATGGAGAATGGGGAATAGGGAAAAGGACGGTCTTGTGTCTTGACGTTAAACTTAGCTAGCCACAAACACTGACCCAAACATACAACAATATTCCGCCACAACAACGCATTCTTACTTAGCTTTCTTACTACATCCACCATAATACCACAATGTCTCTATGAAAATCCTACCTAGTCCCCTTATGTAAAATCCATTGTCTGTGTCGAGGGGAATAAAAAAAAAGAATTAAAAATCTAAACCCCAATGTATATTTACAAAAATGAACAAAACTATATACCCCAAAGAAGAGCTCATCCTAGCATTTAGCCTGAATGTATTTATAGAAAAATAACAAGGAGACATTCTTAAGGCAATGGAAAGTGACTGAAACCGAGATGCCGATCAGGACCAATAAATAAAAGAAAATCTGGAAATATAGATAAAATTGCAGATAAACCAGAGAGACAATTATAGGAATATAAGTGAAAAAACATAATATATAGTACTTACCTTTCTCCAGTACAAAGCAGGACAAAATTCTTTGGTGACTTATGGTCATATCACGTTGAAACCCCGGTTCTCGTACGATCGCCTGAGTTAAGCAACTAACCTGGTTAGTATCTAGATGGGTAACAGCTTGGGGAGAACTGGTGTTGTAAGTTTGAATGTGCGGGTAATGCAATAGATGATGGTTCGATTTCCACTCGAGTTTGTTATATTCACTTATACGCAAAAGACTGTTAAGAAAGAGGGTATGAATTCATCTCTTCGCCTCCATCTTTGAGTTAAACTAAAAGACTTGCATCTAGAAAAATCTCAAAAAAAATGTTCATGCAACATTCACTCGTAAAAAAAAAAAAAAAATATTCTCACAAACCAAGATACGTTTCAACTTTAAATAACCCAGAAACGGTAGATAATCCGTAAAAAACAAATCACTAATATCACTTTCAAAGACAGATAAATTTACAATGAATGTGAATAGCAAACGGAATCCCCTCTTAAAACTTCTTTTATGTGCAATGTCATTCAGAACATGACCGATCGTGGCTCTGCACAACTTTCGGTCCTTTGTAACTAATCAGTTTGACCAACCAATTACACAAGATCATTAGGCAATTTCTGTATTGCTTTCCTCTGTTTCTCTTGTCTTCTATATGTCCTCTGAGCGTTAAGTTTTCCAAAGCCTCATTTCTCATTATGTACTCTAGGAATTTTAACTGTCTCTTTCTGATTCTAAGTGAATTTTTGATACCATTTTCTCCAGAATTTCGTCGTTCAGTTCATGTTGTTCTCAGCATCCTTCTGTAGAACCATCATTCTGTTGCCTCAAGTCTCTTCTTCATCTGTGAGGAGATTATCCAGCATTTGCTGCCATAGAAGAGAACTTGCTGCCATAGAAGAGCTTTTTTCATGTTCCCGAAATTTCTTTCTTTCCTAAAACTTTGCTTAACTTTTGTAAGGCGACTTTCGATGTTCCAATGCGTACTTCGGATTTCGGTGCCGTTAATGAAGTTAAAAACACTCCCTAGATATATAAATTATTAAAACAGAAAATTTCAAAGAATTCGTATTCCTAATGTTAATAGTTTAATCGGTACGGATATGAAAAAGTTAAATAATAAAAATAAAAAAAATGTGATTATTTCTTAAATAATTGCGGTTTTGTAGGGGAAAAAAAGTCAAAATTGTTATTTAAAAAAAAAGAAAAGAAAGAAAAACGCCTTTTAACACGAAATTGATCAGGTGAAGTGAAAGACGAGAGAATTTAAAAGGAAAACATTCTTAGAATGCTTTTAATAACTGTCGAATAAAAAATAGAGAAAAAAAAAATGTTTCCAAAATATTTATGCTGACTTCATGTTCTGGCATAGGGGTAGGAGATTGATTAGGCGTGCGGCGAAGTGAACGCTCTTCTTACACCAACGACGCCCTTCCCTTCATGAATACATCAAAATAGCGTTGACAATGTGTGTCTGTCTGTGTGCGCATACGTAGGTGTAGGTTACTTGATTGTGCACAGGGTGCGCCAGCTAATTGTGAACAAATCAAAATATAGATAAAAGCAAATATATATATTCGAATGAAACAATATATATATATATATATATATATATATAAAGAAAATATTAATATCAGGCTATTCTACGAGTGCAAACGGTAGCATGGAACCAAGTAATACCTGCCGTATGGTCGGGTCATCGGCGACTAAACCGGATCTTCGACCAGGTTTTTCGGGTGGGAAGGATGGCTAGATACCCAGCAAAATTAAAATGAAGATCTGTCGAAGGGGGTGATATAAACTTCTTGTAAGATCAAAGGCCATCTAACACAATGGAGTTTTAACTTGGTTCCATAGTTATGTATGTGTGACGTCATCGTTAGGTGGAGGACTTTCTGAAGTCAACGGCCCCTTTCCCATGGCGGATTCAACAGCCACGTAACCAATGCTAGCTTTGAACTTGAACGGAGAACCGAGTTCCAATTTCAGTTGGGTTCGTTATATTCACTTACGCGCGATTACATTTGAGAAAAGTATGAATCCACCCCTTCTTTCCCCATCTATGGGTTAATTAGTAAGACTTTTATCACTAAACCATTATTACCCTCCCCCCAACCAAAAAATG